AACAGAAGATAAAGTACATGAGATTGATAGGTTCATACACGTACCATTTGAACAGAATCCTAACGTGTTTCCTGGCTTTAAGAAAAGTTTCTTAGCATTTCTATAATTTAAGTTAAGACTGGTTTTCTTAATAGTACCATATGAACTTACCATTGAAAGTAGTTAGATTATTTAAGAAATTGTGTGATCAATACAATGTGGGTGGAAAAGGAATAGAAGACAATTGTAGACACCAGAGACAGTGGGGAGAAGAGGGTGGGAAAGGACAGAGGGTCAGAAAGAGGGGTAGAAAATTTTGCATAATAATATGCATGATTAAGTCACTATGCAGTATATTCTAGATGGGAAATCACATTTTGTATGCTATGATGATGTTTAGGGGAAGAATGTAAATTCAGTTAAAAAAAAAAAGTTTCAGGGAAAAAAAAAAATCCATTCGATGACTGCAGTTAAGATACATAGCCCCAGCTAGGTGATACTTTATAGGACACCTAAAGTTAGACTTGTGTTCATGGAAATGTATAGATCAGCTGTGTTTGTTACGAAAATATTTAGATTAATTAAGATCTTTAGTAATCCAATAAAAAATGGGGGGAAAACAGTATAGAAAGTAAACTTAGATACCAGAGACAGTGTGGGAAGAGTGGGAGATGGCTGAAGGTAAGAGATAGGGAATCAAGGATGGGGGAGGGGGGGAAGCAAAACATACAGGAAACAAGAAATGGAAAATTATTTGTTGACAATAACATGTATGTTGATGTGCTTGATTGAGACAATATACAGTGTACTCTGAATGGAAAATCTAAAAAAAAAAAAAAAAGAAAGAAAGAAATATGAGGTGAAAGTTTGGTTCATTAGCCTTCCATTTCACTTAGAATCCTTGGAAATAAATTCTTAAGGGAACCAGTTATTTCTAGCCTAAAAAAAAAAAATAAAGAATGGTATGTAGAAATTAATGAAACATTCAAGTGAGTAATTCAGTTTATTTGTTTATATATCCAAATGCATAAATTATGATTTAGGGAAGTGATATAGGACATACTGTTTAAATCACATAGGCAGACTTCTCTACAACCACACATTCAACAAGTTATTGAATCATTTGTGTTATGTCTTCCTGGACTAATATAAGTTCTAACAGTTTGTTTATTAAACTAGTATTTATAATCTGGGACCAGCAGATGGTGGAATGTTTATGTTGCTGGACTCCCATGCAATCGACTGTGGTTTGAGTCCCAGATCCAGCAGCTTGAAACTCACACCAGGTACATGTGCATGCCCAAAATTTCGAGAAGAGAATGGAGGAGAAGAAACTGTGGCATGACG